AGGGACCCCAGATGTGGCCTCCCCAGCGCTGAATAGAAGGGAATAAATCCTTTCCTCGATCTGCCGGCAACGCTCCTACATTGAGCCGTTGATTAGTACCAGTTGAGCCTGACAACCCAGCCAGCTTTCTATCCACCTTACGGTCCATTCGTCCAACCCGTACCTCCTCCGCTCGCGCGCTGCTGGTTGATCAGAACCAGAACAAGCAGCAGACCAGTCCCTGGATCGGGCGAGCAAATTGCAAAAGGTCAACCAGGTGCATAAAGCGCCCCCCCAAAAAAGCCTAAAACTGGACAGAAAAGGTGATTTTGGGTATCCTGACAGCAAATGAATTTTCACAGCTGTGGGTCAGAGCCAAGCAGAATCAGCAGCTTTTCCTCTCTGCTGCATCCAACCCAAAGCAAAATACAAAATGCTGAAACAAGTAGCTGCCTCCCCCCCTGCCTCCGGCCTCCTAACGCCCCCTTTTCCTGGTGAGCTGTTTTACAATAAGCAACCCGCTGGGGTCACAGAAACATGAGAGGCGCCTTTCACCTCACACAAAAGCGGGTGCAGGAGGAAACCTCCAAAGAGCTTTGGAAAGGGAGGGAAGAAGGAAAAAAAAATAAAATAAAATAAGAGACTTAACACTACCCCCTTGTCATCTTTGTCCAGGCTTCATCAGAGACTGCTGCTCTCCCTTTTCAGCTCCCCGTTTCTCAGCCAAGCTCCTCAGGTGTTCGGCTGTCATCCAGGCCCAGAAAAAGACATTTGCCAAGCTGCTGTGAAATTCAAAGGTTGTTCAGAGATGGGGGGCGAAGGGGGAGAAGGGAATGAAGTTTTTTCTTTCCTACCTTAAAAAGGCAAGAGGAAGCAGAACCAGGGAACAAAATGGGGCCGAACGGATGAAGCCGAAATGGGGAAGCACAAGAGCAACTATGCCCCCCTTAAACCGGGGCTAGCACAAAAGCAAGAGGGAATCAATCAAAACGATGGGCTGCTTGTGACAGGAGATGGTACGAATGCCTGGCCTCTGAGCAAAGCAATGGCTTCTGGAGCTGGGAATTGCTTCAGTGCAAAAGTAGACGAGGCAGGAGAGTTGCATGGCAGGGGTTTTCTGAGTGGCAAATGCTAGGGAGCTGCCTGAAGCATCAATTAGCAGCTGGATAGGAGCCAAAGGGAGCCCAGCTGCCCTTCCTTCGGACAGGCTGTAGCTGATGGAGGCAGGTATTTCATGCCCAGTTGCTGGGGCATCTCAGCAGCACGCCGTCCTCTTGGGCCATCTCAGCCCCGACACGAAGCCCTGGTCCTGCTCACGGCTTCCTTTGTGCATAGAAACTCTGCCCTATCACCCACCCTGACCCTTCCCCACTCCCACCAGCCCATTCCTGGTGAGCAACACGCAGGACTAGAAATGCCCGTGCATTTAAGGAACAGCACGTGCAAATCTCTAAATAGCTATAATTGCGCTCGGAGAATTGCATGGGGGAACGGAGCCCACCAGGGCCCGGAGTCTCTGCACAAGGCTGCTTCCCAAACATGCCAGCCATAGGCGCGAGGCTCCCTCGCACGACAGCTCAGCGGTCAGTGCTGCCATCTTTGCAGCCAGGGCTGAACAGCTCAGCTCCAGCTGTGGCACGGAGCTCAGTGCCTGCGTGCATTAGCCGTGGCAGCAGTGCCCGTCACGATGCTGCAAAGGGAAGGTCTCACCCTGCATGAGCCGAGTGCCTCTAGGGCCTGACTGGGCCAAAAGGCCCCTTGCACCCGCTTGGAAGGAGCTCAGCCCCCCTCGCAGGCCTGGGCCAAAGAAAGGGCAAGAGAAGCCTTTCAAAAGAAACTCCTTCAGCAGACCTGGATAACCGCAGAGTACACTCTTATCAGAGCCCCTCGGCGCCAGACGTTGCAACGCACACAAAAGCCCAAAGGCAGCACTTGGGCCGAGTCAGCTCAGGCTTAATATTTGCATTTCGTAAAGCAAACTCATAAATCCCCACAGGTTTATCTCCACTTCCAGTTTGTATTTATTAGCGAGAGTGACAGGCCGGTTTTCCTCCTAGTTACACAGGTAAATAGCAAATCGAGCTCCCACACCCGTCCCTTTTTAATGCCCGGCCTTCTATTTACCATCTCTAAACAGGCTGGGATTACATGACCGACAAGCAGAGCAAACAGCCTTTGAAGTAAATATTAGTTATGAACTGGGAGAAGTCCGCTGCGGAGCATCGGGCAAGCAGTCGCCAGGGAGCAACATCCCCGCGCTGCAGGGGAAAATCGTCCCCGAGCCGTGGAGACAGGTATCACAGCCCACAGCACTGGCAGAGAGGACAGCCAGCAGCACCCACGCCGGCATGTCCATGCAGGCGAGGATTAGTGCAGGAGTGGCTCCCGGCCAAGGAAGAGCTTTGAACAAAGATCCCGAAAGCAGACAAAAAAAATTAGGCTAATGATTTACATCCTAGGCCATGTGTGCAGAGCAGGGGGTGCGTAGGCAGGAGTCCGCTCCGGTTAAGGCTTCTACCCTGGTGTTCTCAGGGAGCCGAGTTCAAATGTAACCTAAGGTAAAAGCCATGCAATGAATTGGCCGAGTCTCTTTTTAACTCTCTTTTAGAAAGCTTGGTGCATGCACAAGATTAGTTTTAACCAGTCAATTCTTTTAAAACCCAACTGATTAGATTACAGCAACTTTTAGTGTGGATGCAGTTATTTGAGGATAAGGGCACATCCTATTAGTCTATCCAGTTGGTTCCCTTTGCAGCACGGGAGTGAGCTATGCTGGTTTGAGCCCCGTTAGATGAGGCCAACAACATACATGTTGGAGGGGTTGCATGTACACAGCCCCAGGTTTAGAGATACCCAGCGCTGGACTCAATCCACACTGTGTTTTGGGGGAGCTTTGGGGTGGAAAGCTGATTTCCCTGCAGTTGTACAAGAGCTCCATCCACACCCAATGTGCACGAATGAAGCGCAGCGCAGTGACTCCAGTGCTTGGCATTTCTTCCGACTCGGGGCCCATCTGCAGGACAGAGGAACTGAGCAATAAAGCAGGAGCCCTGGAGAGATGCTGTGCACGCTTCCCCCCACCTTTGCTCCCTGTTTTGACACTAAAAGTGAGAAGCAAACAGAGTCCTCCTTCCCTTGCCATTCCCCTTCGAGCCCCAGGATGGATCTGGGCCAGCCGCGATGGCAGTTCTTTGGGACTTGCAGAGGCCTGTCCTCAGGAAGCAGAGCTGCAATGGCACAACAGAGAAGCAACCGCACCTCCACCCTCCAGGCTCTCACCCCGTCCCCATCCCACCTTGCTCCTACTAAACAGAGGTGGGGCAAGCAGATAGACTCAGTGCTCCTGGATGAGGGAAGACCCCCGTGGCCACCCACAAAACACCAAATCTGAACTACTTCAGTATCACAGCCTCCCTAGCAGGTACCCAAAATACATTCAGCCATCCCAGCCCTGAGGTACACCAGGGGTTTTAAGTGCAGTCACAGAAAGGACCATCAAGCAGGTGCACATGGGTGATGGGGAAAGCTCAGCTTCAAGCCAGTAGACCCAAGGGTCAGGTGGTTTTCAATGGAAACAGCTGGGTGCATGGCCCTATCGGTCAGATTTTGCCCGCTGTTACACCTCCGCTACTCCATTTGGGGCGCCCCAGGAGCATGTAAGCGAAGGGCGGCTTTGGCTCGACAAAGATGAACGTGCCGGGGGGCGTAGCACGTGCATGATGTCTCTGCATCGTGCAGAAGCCGGTGCCATTTGCTATGCAGGCAGGAGGAAGGGGTTGCAGCTTGCACAGATGTGTCACAGACATTAAGGCTGGAAGGGACCACGTGAAATCGGGTCCAGAACCAGCCAGCAGGATGGTGCCAAAAACTTGGCACCTGCCTCTTAGTCTCTCCTCCAACCGACCCCTATTAAATTACTTATGCCAGTATTCCCCCATGAAGCATTGCCGCGCACCCTCATTTCCACTAGCACGAAGGCTGGCCCACAACATAACAGTGCAATTCCCTGCCACCCGAGAGCTGTTTCTTCACAGCCTGCATCATTAGCTCCACCGCCGTCAGAACAGACGGGATTAGGACCAGGGGCTGAGTTGTCTCTCTATAAACACTTTAAGCGGTATTTTTAGCAAGAGAAAAGTGCGATGAATCCCTAGCAAGCAGCCGCAACAGGACTCGGAGCAATCATGGAAATCCAAGTTCGACTCGGAGGGGAAACCTGTAATTTGCCTGAAGGCTGTTCCTACTTGTTGTGGGTGGGGGGCTGCCGAGGGCAATCGGCCGAGCGCTGCTCCGCTCTTTGTGGCTGGCAGGCGCAGAAATAACCAGGAGAACAATTCAGAGGAGCTCGCTGCCAGCAGGATCGCTCCTGCCATTTTATTAGAGGTCTCTCTCCATGCATCTCCTCGAGGCCCTCAGTGCGTATTTTCTGTAGACATGTTTCCTGAGTACAGCGTTACGCCATGGAGTTATTTCAGGAGTTGGGGCATTTTCACACCAAGGGGCTAAGTTGCCTTTTGCTTAGAGAATTTCCACCAAATTACTGTTGCTTCTCTCTGGAAGGAAAAGAGGAGAGAGCCAAGCCCTGCATTAGACTTGCCTTCAAACACTAGTGGCCGTAAGGAAGACTATATATCCCTTTGGGACTGGACTCAATGATCTTCCAAGGTCCTTTCCAGCCCTAATGTCTATGAAAACTTAATGGCTATGAAATGTATTAATTCTGCCATGTTGCTAAGAGGAGACCAGGGCATCACTTGGCATGTTCAGGTCTGTAAGGCCCATGCAGAACTGGGCTGCTGAATTTTAGGGACCACGTACAAAGCCAGCTCCCTTTCATCTGTTAGCAACTTTCAATCACCACTTTTACAAAACCAAAAGCTACTCACACTGCCGTCCAATTCAGGGTTTCATCCCATTCTTAAATTTTAGTTCAGGAGCATAAACAGGTTTTAAAAAAAAAAAACAAAACCCTTCGGAGTCATGCTAGCCTGAACAATGGTTTCAAGTAAAAGAAAAAAGATGGGTGAATTTGGGACTGGGGATCTGAAAGTTTCAATCATATATTCAAGAGGCCAAAGAAACTAAATCAAAGGCATGCAGGAAGCCAAACAAAGTTAAACCATTAAAATGGGTCCCAAGCACCAATATCAACCTTTGAGAAGAAACATCATGGTTGTACAATGCAAATACCCTTACACGAGGCCTTGCTTCTCTTTATTCTACTTTGTCTTTGGTCACAATATAGTCTACGTTTAAAAAGAACTGAAGAAGAAGGCACAAGATCTCAAACCATTTTTTAAAAAAATATGTAAAACCTTCATCATTTAGGATCTCCCTTTTATTGTATATGTACATGGTAACTCCTTGCCATTTGCATGGACACTATAGGGTAGGAAACACATATAGAGCTGGAGGAAGAAAAACAGGCACTTGAAGGGGAGGGAATTAAAATTGTAATTGCCATTAGGGGGTGCTTAAAGTCACAGGCAAGAGATGGGACAGGGAAGCCAGGCTGGTACATACGCAGTCTTGCTTGGTTTGGGCAAAGGTTGTCCAAGCACAGCCTTTATAGTCAGCCTCATGCACTCCGAAGCTGTCTGGCAGGGCCTCAGCATGGAGGTCTCCAAGATAAGGCAGATGGAAAAGACCAGGGATGAACAAGGCAGGAAATGGGTTTATTAAGAAGCGTTTCTGTGGGTAAGGCCATCACT